CTCGCCTATTTGGAATCCAAAGGAAGTATCCAGTATATCTGGTTCTTGTCCGAGAACTTCTGGCGTTTGGGAGACGATGTTTGTTGTTGTCCTTAAAATATGTACATATAAATTACAATTTAAAATATAAATACTTGTTGTACAAATGTAAAGTACACTTACTGTCTGGGCGTGACCGTGTCTTTCAAAAACAACATAGCTTCGTAATATGGCCAAGCTCGTCTAAACGACGCAGCACTTCCGCTAGGTTGTTGATCAACCTTCAATTCTATTCCATATCGGTCTCTTAACGATTTCCATCGCTTTCGGCAGTTTTCCTCTGTAAAGTAAAAATATAGTATTCGTCACAATTATTCGTCACAAATTTGTTATAATTTGGTTCGTCCTATTACAAAACTGCTATATGTTTGAAAAACTCTATACTAACCAGGATGTCCCACAGCAGCAGCTACATTTCGCCAAGCCAAATCTTTCTTCACCCGATCGCGGTAACTAAGCTGTCGTTTGTCCCACAAGCAGTTGTGTTTTTCAATCTCTGCTATAAGTTTTTCTTCGAACATCTTGCACTAAAGCTTCCGATATACCAACCAACACACAAGAATCGGATAATACAGCAGCCGGAACGATAAAAAGTAAGGTATCTGAAAAAATATTGTTGTTAGCAACAATAAATTTAAACAAATAATTGTTTAATATAAACTCTTTTACCTCCATTGAATATTACGCCTTATAAACACGGGTGGAAGTGGCACAGGCAAATGAAACTTTTACCAAGAATGGGGCCGGAACGATAAAAAAGCAAGGTATCTGTAAAAAATAATGTTTTAGAACAAATAATTGTTTAATAACATATATTTTACTAAAATTGATGAAGAACGCGATAAAAACTGCACACAAGCAAAATCGACGCGAAAAATTGAAATGTCAAGAGTTGTCAAAAGCCTACAGCGCGCTGTCAAATAGAGATTTCGGCTAATCGATACTTTAAAGCGCTTCAAGCAAGTGAAGTAAAGCTGCCACTAGGCCAACTTTCATACATTTTAGTAGATTTTAAAAATTGTTTGACAGTTCTCAAAGCCAAGCAAGCAAAGCAAGCGTGCATTGGGCCAATACCTTTCGTCAGGCCGATCCCGGAAATCCCCGCATTAGGGATCTCAATTCGGAGATTCGGCAACTTGTGAACGTACATAAGCGGAAGAAATGGGAAGAGCATCTGAAGACCTGCAACTTCGCCTGTGGTGTGAGCTAGCTTTGGTCAACCGTGAGGTCGTTGTCCAACCCGACGAAGCGCGATGACAGAGTCGAGATAGACTTTGGTGACCACGCTTCGTCGGACCCGGAGAGATGCGCGAGCTATTTTAGCCGGCAGTTCATTCTGCATCCTCCGGTGGATAAAGCCAAACGTCGAGTGACCAGAAGGCTGCACAAAATGCCAAAACCTAGTGCGCCTCTTGTTTTCACCAGCGGTGAGGTAAGGGTAGCCATCGGGAAGGCGAAAGCCTCCAAAGCCATTGGACCCGACGGAATATTCATGTTGATGCTGAAAAATTTGGGTCCTGCGGGAGTACCGTAGCTAACGGAGGTCCTCAACCTGTCCATGGCCACTCTCGTCACTCCAGACATCTGGAAAATGGGGAGAGTGGTCCCACTGCTCAAACCGGGGAAACCAGCCAACAAAGGAGTCTTATCGCAAGATAACTCTCCCGGTAGCGAATACACTCGAGGCCCTGCTGCTCCCGTACTTCACGAACCACCTGACCCCAGCGAAGCATCAACATGGGTTCCGTAAAGTGCATAGTACAACAACAGCACTTAACGCCATAAACACTCAGATAACTCGTGGCCTAAACCGAACCCGCCCCTGTGAGAGAACTATTCTAGTAGCGTTGGACCTGTCCAAGGCGTTCGACACTGTCAGTCATTCAACGCTACTAGAAGATATAGAGGCCTCCTCACTCCCACAGGGACTCAAACGGTGGTCGGCGAATTACCTGAGTGGTCGACACTCGTCAGTAATTTTGAGAGACAAAACTAGCAAGCCACGCAAAATTAAACAGGGGGTGTCCTGTCCCCGCTACTGTTTAATTACTACATATCAAAGCTTCCTCAGCCACCAGAGGGTGTTAATATAGTCTCGTATGCTGACGATTGTTCGATCATGGCGTCTGGGAATGGAATTGATGACTTGTGCTCGAAAGTAAACGGTTACCTCTCCGGGCTTTCTCGCTTCTTCACTGCAAGGAGCCTTGCCCTATCCCCTGCGAAATCCTCGGCAACCCTTTTCACCACCTGGACGAAGGAGGTCAGACTGCCACTGGGTATTCACGTCGATGGCGTAACAATACCGACGGTGAATAACCCGAAAATCCTCGGAGTTACCTTCGACAGTCTGCTCTCCTTCTCGGCGCATACGACCGCAATTGTCAACAAAGTTCAGAGCCGCAACAATGTCCTCAAGTCGCTGGCCGGCAGCACTTGGGGCAAAGATAAAGAAACGTTGTTGGCAACATACAAGGCAATTGGCCGGCCGGTTCTAAACTACGCAGCGCCCGTATCGTCGCCGGGGACTATCAGGACGCAGTGGATGAAGCTACAGACCTGCCAAAACACAGCATTACGAACTGCGACAGGATGCCTCCGGATGACGCCTCAACACCACCTTCATGACGAGGCCCAGATGCTCCCAGTAAAGGAGCATAACATAATGCTCTGCAAGCAGCTCCTCGCTGGGAGCCACTGACGTGGCCAACAACAACCAGTTGAGATAAATTAGCTCGGGCCTTCGATATACGCACATGTGTAGAAATGAGATGCAAAAGGCAATAACAATTTAAGAGCAAATTATTATTGGTTGGGAATAGCGGAATATTATGCACAAGCAAACAGTTCTAAACACGCTTATCGCTTTGAATGACAGTCGATAAATAGGCATGTAATAAACGGCATTTGAGAATCTAAAGGCTAGCTGGGTATTAAAATTGTACGCTGTTTTGAATTTTGTGATTTTTTATTCGTAAATTATTTAATTCGACTGTTTATCCACTTAGTAAACATTTTAATAAATTAAACAAGATTTTTTTTTTGCTTTGAGTTTTGCCATAACAAAAACAATATATTTTTAAAGAAGTATCGGTCATAACAAAATTACCAAATTGCCAAATGCTGCGGACCCTGGGTCACAGTAGAAAAATAATTATTAAAGTAAAATACATAAATATGAGCAACATAATCAAATACATAGGAGTTGCACAAAAATTCAAATATGGATTTATGAAAGTATAAGGGTAACCATACAACTCTGTTAATGACAATATTAAGCATTATCTACAAGAGGAGTGCTTGACACATTTTAGTAAATACAAAACTTGTCCAATGCTTTCGATTGGGTCTTTTGATAGTAACTATGAAATTTTACATCAGTGTAAGTGTTTGTTGAATTATTTTTGCTTTACAATTGTTAATTTTACTATACGCGCACTTCCAATCTGTTAATAGTCATATTCTCCATCAATCTTACATCAATGCGTTAAACGCATGCATTTTTTAATTAAAATTAGTTTTGCCTAATGTAATTGTTTTCGAAAATATCTAGTTCATTTTGAATATAGTTAGCCTTGTTGCGCAACAGTTTAAGCTGCTTTTGATTCGATTCAAGAACTGCTAGTTGTGATTCAAGGCTTTTTAGTTCTTCGTTCATGTCTGTTGTGGCATTATCAACCAAACGACACAACCGAGCAAAGGTACTTGATAATTCCCTGCAAAATTAAACACTTGTATTTACCATTATTCAATCAAATAAAAACAGTATATAAAACTTACTGTTGCACTTGGTGGCTGCAATTTGCCGACGTTAGATCGACTATCATTTTTAACTTTTTAGTTGCATGACGCACATATTGTGATTTAAAGGCGCGTTCCTTCGCTGAATTTGTCCAAGATAAGCGCTCATACAAGTATATACAACCGTATAAAGCTCCGACTCCTAGTAATACTCTCCAACCTATTGTCTTCAACATCTATTACAAAATATATATAAATAGATAGAAAACACGCGTTTTTAGGCTACAACGAGACTCATATAAACTTACAATACCGGCCACAATAAGTCCACCTACGGTGCCCTGTGAGCCAACGGAGGCCATCGCAAAACGTGAAATTACAGACAGCTGCTCCTGTGTAATGCCTCCAACAGGCCGTGGTATCAAACATAAAGGTGTATCGGTGCCTGGTGTTGAAGGCGACAGATTCTGCAAAAGTACAAAGGATAATGATTAGTAGAGTCCGACCGATTCCAATTTTTTTTTCAGGTACCGATGCCGATGCCGATTAATCGGCTTATGGGGAAAGAATCGGCCGATGCCGATGCTGATCCCGATTCCATAAAAAATTACAAATCAGTTAATTTAACGGAGTTAACAAAACAAAAGAAAACAAATAATTGTATTAATTGGCTTGTTATGCAACTTTACATACACATGTACGTACATCTCATACGATTCCGTTCAAAATTTTTTTTAAATTTTTTTAAAAATATTTTTATGCAAATATTTTAAGCTTAAACCGTTTTGTCATTTGAGGGGATTTTTTCAAAAAAAAAATCTTTAAGCTCACTTAAATCTTAATATTTTTCCGAAATATTTTGGTGGACGTCTTAAAATATAATATATTTTGTAATCGCAACGCAAACGCAACTTTTTTTGGTGATGCAGTCTAATGTACTTTTGTACTCAATGCATAAGAACTTATGTGCTAGGTATGTATGTGCATTAGGGTGGTCCAAAAACGCATGTGAAAAAGTAAAGTCGGAATTTTTATGCTCTCACCCCCTAGGATTGTTCTATACCGAAAAAAATATACCCTTATTTTCTTTTATTTTGAAATCAAAAAATATTTACAGGTCACTCAAAGCGCCCAAAGTTTTCCATGTATTTTATATGGGGGAAAAAACACTTCGTAGAAATGGTATAGAATAGTTAAAAATCAATATTTTTCTACCAGAAAACTCTGTTTATCTGTTTATAATAATACCCAATTGGGTAGTTAACCATATTTTTATTGCAACTATAATTTATNGAGTCCGACCGATTCCAATTTTTTTTTCAGGTACCGATGCCGATGCCGATTAATCGGCTTATGGGGAAAGAATCGGCCGATGCCGATGCTGATCCCGATTCCATAAAAAATTACAAATCAGTTAATTTAACGGAGTTAACAAAACAAAAGAAAACAAATAATTGTATTAATTGGCTTGTTATGCAACTTTACATACACATGTACGTACATCTCATACGATTCCGTTCAAAATTTTTTTTAAATTTTTTTAAAAATATTTTTATGCAAATATTTTAAGCTTAAACCGTTTTGTCATTTGAGGGGATTTTTTCAAAAAAAAAATCTTTAAGCTCACTTAAATCTTAATATTTTTCCGAAATATTTTGGTGGACGTCTTAAAATATAATATATTTTGTAATCGCAACGCAAACGCAACTTTTTTTGGTGATGCAGTCTAATGTACTTTTGTACTCAATGCATAAGAACTTATGTGCTAGGTATGTATGTGCATTAGGGTGGTCCAAAAACGCATGTGAAAAAGTAAAGTCGGAATTTTTATGCTCTCACCCCCTAGGATTGTTCTATACCGAAAAAAATATACCCTTATTTTTTTTTATTTTGAAATCAAAAAATATTTACAGGTCACTCAAAGCGCCCAAAGTTTTCCATGTATTTTATATGGGGGAAAAAACACTTCGTAGAAATGGTATAGAATAGTTAAAAATCAATATTTTTCTACCAGAAAACTCTGTTTATCTGTTTATAATAATACCCAATTGGGTAGTTAACCATATTTTTATTGCAACTATAATTTATAGGTCCGCCAAAAACCCCGAAAAATGTAAGGGGGTGACCAATAAAAAATCGTTAGTATTAAAAAATGGCTAAATAAACAATTGGGTATTATTATTGAAAGTCTCCTGAAGAGAACCAGAGTTTTCCCATCGAAAAATATTGACTTTCAAGAATTCTATACCATTTCTACGAAAAAATGTATGTTTGCCATATAAAAATACATGGAAAACTTTGAGCGCTTTGAGCGACCTCTAAATATTTTTTGATTTCAAAATAAAAAAATAGGGGCATACTTTTTTCGATATAGTATAATCCTAGGGGGTGAGAGCATTACAATTCCGACTTAACTGTTTTTGGACCACTCTAATGTACATACATACATATAGTGGTCCACAAAATAAAAGAATTGCGATATTTTGACCGGTTTTGGCATTTGGCATTTGTCTTTTGTTTATTTGATGTTTATTATTTATTTTTATAAAAGTCTAGCTGGTATACAACAAACACCATATAAATTCAGATTTCAAGCTGTGTACAAAAATTAGAAAAATTTTGCTTATTTTCACCGAAATTTCAAACTCAGAATTTTGGTATGCAGTTTTGTAGACCATTTAATTCGAGTATAATGAAGTGCAAGTTTCAAGCTGTCCCGTTAATTTTTGGAAATTTTTTTGCTGGCAGAGTCCATATAAAAGAAAATTGTCGAACAAACTTTTGTAAGGAAAAAATGTAAAATACCTTCAACCAGAAAAAATTAATCAAATGTTTTTTGATGTTGGTTGTTGTCTGTCGCTTCACCTGAACATGGGAAAATAAATTCCAAATAATCGGCAAAGAATCGGCGAAAAAAGGCCGATGCCGATGCTTAATTTTGTGCCGATACGGACTCTAATGATTAGCAATTTTTAAAGATATGTATGTATGTACAGATATGCAACGCAGAGCTGTAAAATACGATTAGTATTAGGAATCATTATGATTATTTGTCAATGGTTGTATTAATGGATATTTTAATTTCCCTTCGAAATCTGGTAATTGTTAATTAAACATAATTAGAAATAATCAAAAAATACCGCTACGTTTTCTTCCATGTGGAGTAAAAGTTTCATAGCTGTATTGATTACCAGTATTTCACTAGACCAAAATATGCATTCATTTTTACTATGGGAGTATATGTAAATTTAAAACCACAGTATAGACAGTAACCAACCTTTTTGGGTTGTTGTTGTAGTAGTCGTTGTTGTTGTAGTTATATTCACTCCTGAGGAAGGCACGGGGTTGTGTGCTGCTATTTAATGGCCTTCCTCAGACTTTTTCTTAGATTTCAGGGTTGTGTTCTGCATTATTATTAGATAAATAAATTTAAGCATTTGACAAATCGTGATTTTATTAAAAGAAAATTATAAATGGTGTTGAAAAACCAAACAAACGCTCGTGCGAAAGCTCTATTTTTGTGTGTTGTTAAAATTTATACATGGCGTATTGATGGTAATACAAGCAATGTATTCTTTTGTGGATTTTATGTTACTTGAGAATTTAGACAACGTGCGAACTGCCAGGTTCTGTTATCAATATAATTAACACAAGGTTTTCCACGTGGTTGCTTTTCAATAAATAGAATAAACAAATATTCGCAAATAAATTGGATTTATTTTATAACTGACAACTAACGTACGCTTTTTGTTCTTTTCTCCATTTTGATTTTGACTCTTTATTACCGCCAACAACTTTATGTGTATACATATTTACAAGCTGTCAAAATTTTGCGTAGTCCCACGAGCTAGGTAAAAACTATGGCATTCGTATTCACAACGAGAAATCTCAAAATTTTCGTTTGGTCTTTCCAAATTTTTTCTTTTTTATCAGTTGGCAAAGGCTCTCAGTGGCAGCGCTCCGAGCGTTGAGATAATAATTTCATGTCAATTAGTAGAAAAGTTCCATATTGGAAAGATTTTTTATTAAGACGAGAAAATTTTATATCTCTGCTGTGCCAATTCGTAACTTTGTACTGCTGGAAATTTTTGACAGTTGCTCTGGTGCAAAAGAAGTTGAGCAATTAAAATCAGAAATTATACAAAAAAGACTTGTCTTTACTGACATTTATTCTTCAAGAACTAAAGCCATGCATTTATTAGACGCCTTAGTAATAAAATTAGAACAAACAAATTCTTCAAAACCGTCAGGCCGGGTTGAAAATTTTCATTCACCTCATAGTTAACAAAAATTTACAATTCGTAGTACTTTTCTATCAATTCGCAAATGCCGTTTGCACAAAAAAGGTTATGAAATGCGTTTTATTTAAATCGTTTAGAAAATGAGTCATATATGTATACCATTTTATGTGGAATGATTCAATAAATTTCGTTTTACACTATACTTTTTGAAACTATTTGGAGTTAATTATTTTTTGTTTCGCCAAATTCACTGAAGGTTGTTTACTGGTTATATTGTGTTTAAAACTTCAAAGCCGTTTTTCTCGAGTATCCCTTTTTTGAGTTATGACACAAAGTTTTGCAACCGAGCTACAAAAGAACACTCGCTTAAATGACGAAATACACGCAAAGCAACAACACAAATTCGGCTATTTATCCGAGTTCAGCCAGGTCGGTTTAAAAATACGCGACCTGAAGGGTAGTGTTAAGTGAAGAAACTGCTCTATTGTGAATTGTTAATGGGATAGTGGAGAGCAACATTTTTGTTTCCTTATATACGTGACTTATATTTTAAATAAGTGTATATATTACGCAAATATCTCGCATAATTACTCATTTAAATTGGTTTTTGTATCTAAATCCCGTTAAACTAATCACTTGTTTCTTGCCAGCTACCAACAGGGTTGCTTAAGTAGCTAAATGGAAATTCTACCCGCGTTGAGCGTTCTTTTGTCGCTCGCTTACAAAAAAATGCAGGCACTATTGAAGCAAATAAGCAATATGTTAAAGAATATATAGAATTTTTAATTGCACTACAAGGTAGTAATCTTGAGATAGTTCTATTTGGTTATATAAGGCACTCCGCACTTTAAGCGCCTACTCATAGTAGTGTAATCGTTCCGGCATATTAAAGTATGAAGCTTCTATACCGAACACATGTATTTCAATGAAACTCTGTACATATATTACGATTCATAATCATGTTTTCGCCTAATCATAAAAGCTTCATGAATCGAAACGCCCAACATTGTATTTTGATATTCCCCGCCACTCAGCATATTTTGGATATAAGTACGTCTAAATCAGGGAAACGCCACCACTCTGATGTACGCATATGGTGTTATTTAGCTCTATTTTCACTGTCGTAAACTATGTATATCAAGCTGGTTGCCTCAAAAAAATTTGAATTAATTTGCTGCATAACTTTTGAATTATAGGTGTTTAAATTAAAAAATAATAATGAAAAC